TTTTTATATTACCCGATCTTACAAAATTTGATGGAATCATCGGCCTCGATTTGTTAACACAAATCGATGCAAAAATAGATTTTAAAAATAAAAATTTGAAGTATAATACGGGATCAGAACCGATCCAGTTTTTAAAATGTGCGAATGTAAATTTCACTCGAATTGAGGATATTAAAATTCCAGAAAAAGTTAACGAAAAATTTCAAAAATTATTAAAAAGTGAACAAACGGTATTTGCTGATCCTGACGAATTACTTCCGTTCAACACAAATATTGTAGCTACCATTCGAACTGAGTGTGACGACCCCATTTATTCGAAACTATATCCTTATCCTATGGGCGTAGCAGATTTTGTGAATAAAGAAGTGCGTGACTTGCTAAGAAATGGTATAATTAGACCATCTAGATCGCCATACAATAATCCAATATGGGTTGTTGACAAAAAGGGAGTTGATGAACATGGCAACACAAAAAAACGTCTTGTAATTGATTTCAGAAAATTAAATCAAAAAACGATAGACGATAAATATCCCATCCCTAACGTGATGGTGATACTCGCCAACTTAGGAAAAGGAAAATATTTTACAACTCTCGATTTAAAATCTGGCTTTCACCAAATAGTTTTGGCAGAAAGAGATCGTGAGAAAACTGCTTTTTCGGTCAACAGCGGAAAATACGAATTTTGTAGGCTACCATTTGGCTTGAAGAACGCACCCAGCGTATTTCAAAGGGCTATTGATGACGTGCTTCGAGACCAAATTGGAAAGACATGTCACGTTTACGTCGACGACGTTATCGTATTCTCAAAAACAGAAGAAGATCACATTAAACACATAGCGTGGGTCTTGAGGAAGTTGAACGAAGCCAATATGAGGATTTCACGGGAGAAGTCCCATTTCTTTAAGGAAAGCGTTGAGTACTTAGGTTTCACGGTAACTGGAGAGGGTATTCGAACAAGCCCAAGTAAAATAGAGGCAATTCGAAACTATACTGAACCAACGACATTATTTAATGTCAGGTCATTTATGGGCTTAGCGAGCTATTACAGATGCTTTATAAGAAACTTCGCCTCAATAGCCAGGCCACTTACAGATATCTTTAAGGGCGAAAATGGTAGAGTTAGCACTCACCAATCGAAGAAAAAACAAATAGAGCTAAACAACAGTCAGCGTCAAGCTTTCAACAAGCTCAAGAAAATCTTGATGTCGGAAGACGTCTTGCTCCAGCATCCAGATTATGGAAAACCATTCGACCTAACAACGGATGCGTCATCTTTAGGATTAGGCGCTGTACTATCACAAAGCGGGAAGCCGATAACTATGATATCGAGGACCTTGAAAGACAACGAAATGAATTTCGCTACCAATGAAAGGGAATTACTCGCAATTGTTTGGGCTCTAAAGAATCTCAGAAATTATCTATATGGTGTTAAAAATTTAAATATTTTTACTGATCATCAACCTCTGTCGTTTGCGGTTTCAGACCGAAACCCCAACGCGAAAATTAAGCGGTGGAAAGCGTTCATAGATGAACATAATGCACAAATTCTTTATAAGCCAGGAAAAGAAAACTACGTAGCCGATGCGCTATCACGGCAGAACATTCATGCGCTTGAAAATATGCCTAGTTCTGACGCAGCCACCATCCACAGCGAATTATCAATGTCTTATGCAATTGAAGCGACTGATAAGCCAGTGAATTGTTTCAGAAACCAAATCGTCATTGAACGAGCAAATGTGACATCGACTCGTACTTTTATAATCTTCCGCGAAAAAACTAGACACTTGATCAATTTTTTCAATGAAGAAGAACTATTGGAGAGTGTTAGAGAAGCAATAAAACCTGACGTAGTAAATGCAATTTACTGTGAGCTACCAATTATTGCTTGTATCCAGAATGAGCTCGTCAAGGCGTTTCCGTCTACAAAATTTTGGTACTCCAAGCATTTCGTCATGGACATATACGATAAAAACGATCAACGGGACATAGTAACAATAGAACACAATAGGGCACACAGGGCCGCACAGGAAAATGTTAAGCAGATCTTGCGCGAATATTTTTTCCCAAAAATGACAAAATTGGCCAACGAAATCGTTGCAAATTGCAAAACCTGCTCAAAGGGTAAATACAACAGACACAAAAAAAAACAACTAATCGGCGAAACCCCGATTCCATCATATGTTGGTCAAATTCTTCATGTAGATATATTTTCCACAGATGGAAAATATTTTCTCACATGTATAGATAAGTTTTCGAAGTTTGCTATAGTGCAACCCATTGCTTCACGAACAATTGTGGATGTGAAAATTCCAATTTTACAATTGATGAATATCTTTCCAAAAACAAAAACAATTTTTTGTGACAATGAAAAGTCACTAAATTCGGAAACCATCAGGTCTACATTGACAAATACCTTTAATGTGACGTTAGCTAACGCTCCTCCCTTACACAGTACGTCTAACGGCCAGGTAGAAAGGCTACACGGCACATTAATAGAAATTGCTAGGTGTCTGAAAATAGATAGGAAAATTGACGACACAGTCGAACTTATTATACAGGCAACCATAGCATACAATGGGTCAATTCACACCACAACCAAAAAGAAACCCATAGATATTCTTCATTCAGCTACACCTGAACTACAACAGGAAATAGAGAGCAAAATTAGAGAAGCCCAAGAACACCAGCTAAAACAGCATAATAAAGCGAGGCAGAATAGAACCTATCAAGTGGGTGAAACAGTTTTCGTCAAAACAAATAGAAGACTGGGAAACAAAATAACTCCATTGTGCGTCGAAGGAAAGGTGGAAGCAGACCTAGGATCATCTGTCCTCATAAAGGGAAGGGTGGTCCATAAGGACAACCTTAGATAATATTCTGTAGTGGTTTGCAAGGGCGAAGCGAGCTGATGCATTCACAATACTAATGTTCTAAGAGTGTTCTCTATTACACAATTGTATGATTTTAACTATTGTTAAACTATTGTTTATATTTAACTATTGTTATATTTAATATATTGTTATCTAACTATTGTTATATTTTTTAATAATAACATATTTTTGTTTTATATATTTTGTTAAATATTCCAATAATTGCTAACTTATTGTATTCAACGCAAAAAGAGACCGAGGACGACTCTTACTTAGCGAGGGAGGAGTTAACACGTAATCAGCCACACTTCTATGTTTAAATAAAAATATCCGATGAATTATGTTTAAAAGCTCTCAGGTGAGAGTGTTGTAAAAAGCTCCCTCACATATGAAAGAGTTCAGTTCAATTTTGGCTCTGTAGTGTAAAACATATATTTAATAAAGAAATAAATAATTGATAATTGGTAATAAAATAATTTATACTTTAACTTAAACTCATTTTTCGACACAATAAAACAAGCAGATAGAATTTTAATCACAATGAGGAAGACTTGTGAAAATGTACAAACTTTTGAAGGGCAGTGTAATCGATTTTAGACACAAGGTAAATAAAATCCGTGAACATGTTGCAGAAAACTTAAAACTACCAGGGAAAAAATACGATCAATTAAGGGCCATATACAAATTACTAGCTGCTAAGGCAACGATACTGAAGAATCAGTTGATAATATCAACATCTATACCTCTCCTAGACGAACACGTGTCACAGCTGCATAGAATCATTCCAATTACGTTTGAACACGATAACAAAAAATTGGTAGCAAGGCCAAGGAACCACTATTTGATTTACAACTTTAACATGGATGCTTACCATTTAATGTCACAATCCGACCTAAATAACTGTCAGACATTAGCAGAAAAAGAATTGGTATGTGATGGCGGATAGCCCTGGATAGACGCAAACGATGATTCATGTGAAGTAACATCTCTAAAGCCACTCAACAAACACATTTGCAAACTTGACGAAACAAACGCTGAATTCGTATGGGTGAAACTAAACACACCAAACAACTGGCTGTTCAAAACATTCAACAAAACTGTCGCTCATGTTATGTGCAAAGCAAACAGATAGAAAATGATGAAGTTGCCATTACAAGGACTCATATCCTTAAAAATTGGATGTACTTTACGGGTCCAGGGAGCGACAATAACGGCACCAGATATAATAGAATCAAAATTTCAAGCAGACCAACAAGTTTTTTTGACAACAAATATAACAAAAATAGCAGAATTTAGCATGCTACCTTTAGATTCAATTGTCGTAAATCATTCCACACAAATTCTAGACAGCATGAAGCAGCTAAATGAAGTCAAGGCGGAAAATATAAAGCTGAAGGGTTTAAACTTTCATCATGTCAGTGGACATGCCTCATTTATTTTAGTTTTAGGTATCACTATTATTGTAACTTTTTATGCTATAAGAAAAAATATAAGGCAACGCGTATTAGCTACGCTAAATTTTGGGCCCCGGCAGAATGTTCAATCATGAACATAAATTATTACGTTATGACCTCCGGCAGAATGTTCAATCATGAACATGAATTTATATATTTAATTATTATAGTTTATTATTATAAATCCATTATCAGCTAAATTCTTAGAAATAGTAACATTTTTGAGCATCCGTATCTAAATTATTAAAATAAAATATATTCATAAAAACAATAGGAGGAAAATCCCTAGTGTTGAGACTTCCGTCCTTTTTTAACCCTTTTTTTTTACAAACAATAACAAAATGTTATACAGTCCATTAAAATTATATTATTATAACCTTGATGTAAAATTAATCTTAAAATATTTTTGTATAAAAACACAACATTGTTTTAAATAAAATCAGTAACTACAAAATACTCAATCAGTGTACTTCAATAATATAATAGTACAATTGGTGAACCAACTTTTAAAAGTAAATTGTGTGGTGGTAGTACTGGCAAATCAAGCGAATTTAAGAACTCAGTGCGATAATTCACAATCTCGTTTTCATCTACCACTGTGTCGATAGATTTTAACGAAAGGAAATTACCAGGTAGCATAGCTTGAATTTTGGAATTGATTTCATTGACATCTAAGTTCTTGGCAGCCAGATTCGCTCTACTTTGAAGCCATTGATGGTTCTGATAATTTTGATATATGTGAGGAAATACGCTTTCTATTAATTTCTTTTTCGAATTAACAACTTTACAAAAATTTTCTGGCAATTTAATAAAGTGCGTATTTTCCTGAAGACTTACGTTTCCATTAACAATATCAAGCAATTGTTTGGCAAACAGTTCTGCAGCTTAATCTCTCTGTAGTCCAACACGCATGTTTTCGGTAAATCGCAATATATGGACACTTCGCCACAAAATAGATGATTTAAGGCAAGCATTGATTTCATCAGCATAGGTTGAACGTGGAATAACTGGCAATGTTTGTCTAAAATCACCTGCCAATAAAATTAAAGCGCCTCCAAAAAGTCTATCGTTGGCATTTAAATCTTTAAGTGTTCGATTTAATGCTTTCAATGAATACTTATGTGCCATTGTGCATTCATCCCAAACAATGATGTGACATTTTTGAAGTATCTTAGCCATATTGGAATGTTTTTTTATATTGCATACTGCATTTTCACATGAATGTATGTTTAGTGGCAACTTTAGTACCGAATGGGCTGTTCTACCACCGTCTAACAATGTCGCAGCGATTCCAGATGATGCTAGTGCTAAAGCGACATTACCTTGCATCCTAACCTTTGCAAGAATGACAGAAATTAAGAAAGTTTTTCCAGTTCCATCTGGTGCATCCAAGAAAAAAAGCCGTCTTCTTTTGCCGCAATTACGTTCGAGACCCGATCATAAATGAGCTTTTGTTGGTGCGTTAAGATTTGTTCGCTTCTTGTAACAAATTCAACCAAATCTTCAGAGCTATACTGAAGTTCGCGCTGCATATCATTGTTAAATAGATCGGTTGCCAAACGATTTGGCGAATACAATCCAAATGATTTAAGTGGTTGATTTGATATAAGTAAACATAAGTCTTCGATCATAATCAAAGCTTCGTTATAAATTTCACGATTGAATTGAATATTTAAGTCATGATTTGTTGTTCTATTTCTATGTAGTATATCTTCACTCATTGAACATTTATATTTTTCCCACAATTCTTTGGGATTATTTGGAAAACACGTTGTCAACAATATGGCGAATTATTGACGAATTTGATGTGGAAAAGAACTTAATACTGCATCCCGGAGCGTGATGTCCCAATGATTATCGCTTTCCAGCAATTGCAATTCTCTACATCATTATATGTATTGTATAGCTGAACATTCTCAAATACTCATACGATGTTGGACCGCGTAGATTTATCAAAAGCAGTCTTTAAAAAAAACACTCTCGTTGTTTTGGATGAACAGTATATAAACGACCCAGTGTGTTTGCTGAAAATAATCCTGGATAACCATTGACTGCAACACCTCGTTTACGTGGTGCCACTTTTTTAAAGTTTTGTTCCATGTAAAATATGTTGGAACTTCCGAATAAAGTAAAGTTCTTTCGTATTGCCCAAAAATATATTGTTGTTTATTCAATTCAAAGAACTCGGTTAACGAAGTTTTTGGTGCTGTTAATGCCCTTTCTATTGCATTTTGTTCGTTGAAAAAAACACGTTGAACATTTTCAAGATGTATACTTAAATGTATTACAGCTGGATCTCGTTCGTGTATTTGAAAACCAAAAATTCGCCGTATGGCTTCGTTACTGCTGATATATCTGCCCATTTGGTAGCGTGTTATTTCATAATTTTCGTTTATATTTTGAACTGCAAATACTGTGACATGGACTACCTTTATGAACATATTTGCAAATTTATTTTATTGATTTTACGGAGCTACAAAATTCTACATTGATGTGCGCTTTATATATCTTGGATAACAATGGCGAATATGGCACAACCCATCTATTGTCTACTTCAACTTCATATTCCATATTTCTCAACTTTAGTGAAAAGGATTGGCATGAAACATGAAAAACATGTTTGGCATGTTTTATCTTTACGCATAATTTTAATGTCTCGTTTTTCAAACTGTTCGCCAACTATTACAACAGCGACTTCATTTATAGTTGGAGCGTTAAATCGTCGTGTATGTTCTCCAGCTGGTACTCTGTCGGCTTTGATTACAATCATGTAATTGTCATTTTGTAATCTGTTCGACACTCCTTTGAACAATTTCATTAACTGATTGTTCTCATTTACAAACGCTTCTAAAGATGCTGCTAATGCTTTTTCTGCATTTATTTCAATATGATTATAATTGCATCTTGCATTTACTCTATCTTCCTCACTGCCCATGAAGTAAATTTGCAGAAATTTGGGGTCCTCATCGGGCATCGATAGTAACGAACCAATTCTATGATAAACTTGACCTTGAATTTTGAAAGTTGTTTCAACATTGAAATTGTTGTTACTTGAATTTTTAACTACGTTTGTTGCTCCAAATGAGGTCATTTGAAAGCATGAATTAAATTTTCGAATTTTTTTCAATAATAAGTTTGACTCATATGTTTGCCAGCTATTAATGTTTTCAAGGGCTCGGTTGGTGGATTCAATGAAAGCAATACCACTTTTCCTGATGCGCAACATATTCCAGGTGTTTCATTTTTAAATTTTAATGCATGACAATATTCACATTCAATATTCATTTCGCCAACTATAATTTTGGGATGCGCTGAATAATCTATTACTGGATCAAATTCAAATGCAAGACGATTGACGATGACCTTGTCAATGCACGTTATTTTTGAATGCGCTCTCGATTTTGTCGCGTTCGTCTATGTCGTGATATATATTTAAACGCAACTGCACCATCCATTCCCTATCAGTGTCTTTGTTTCGCAAATGTTCCTCAGAACATTTCGCGTCTTAATCGCCTAGTTTGACTTCTCTGTGTGTATTTAGAAAGATTTGTCTTTGCATTTTTTCTTTAAGCAAAGCTACAATTAATAAGAAAAATATCTTTTTCCTCTATTCTAATTATTAAGCAAATGTATATACATATATCCAGTTTAATTTTTAATATACATATATTGAAATCTTTAAGTTAATCTAATAAATTTGTTTTATCTGAAAAAACAACATAAATAGTATTGGTGGTATATTAAAAATATCATCATGTGTCCATCATCATTTACAACTGTTCGCAAGCAGTTAAATTTGTAAATCCACAATTCAAAAAATATTTTGGATTTAAAGAAAAAGCTTTTTAACTTTGTTAAAGTAAAAAATGTAAACAAATTATGAAATCACACAATTTTATAAGATTCTATAACTTATCTGCGCAATGCCTAACCTTAGTATTTAATGTTCTTGACGGTATATAGAAGATTTAACAATTGCATACTAACAATTACTGTCGATTAATGGCACTTCATTCAATAATTTTTAATTTTCACAATCGTTATGATATTTTATTTTTATCGCTTTAACGAATAGCTATTAAATAAAGCGTCTAATAAATACCGCATTTTTTACTTTAAGATGCAGATCAGTAAATTTTTAAATGTTTTTCGTTTACTTTTTGTTTAAATTTATGAATAATTTTTTGCACTCGCGCAACTTACATGTATTCTCAAGAATGGTAGAATTAGGTTTGTGTGTGCACACAACTGTGTACAATCGCGATTGTACGTTTTGTTGTTGCATTTGCATTTTGCTTATTTTATTTTCTTAGTCAAAAATAATTGCTTCAAAATAGTCACAGTATTTCAAACCTGGGATAGAATACGACATTCGAACAAATTCCCTTTACATGATGTATTTGGCACGGTTTTCATGGTTGCCATGCAGTATAATAACTTGACAAATTAATTTGAATAAATTTCAATTAAAAATTTACATTTACAATTTAAATTATGTAATAATAATTTAAAACAAATTATCAATATAAAAATGAAATAAAAAAGATTCGTGAAATTCTTATACAATTAAATGTATAAATGTTAAATGGAATTAAATTGCTTTGTATAAAAATATAACAATGTAACGATACAAATTTGCACAGTAAATTTCTATGTCACATATATCAAGAACAAGAGAAAAAGAAAGTCTGAATGTCACCTAACCACTACCTCTACACATAATAAAAGTAAGAACACTCACGTGAAAAAAACTGCTATGGATTTGTCTGAAAAATATGAAATTAAATAAAGATATTTTATCATAAGTCACATGGACATTACCTGCGATCCTCGGTTCCAGCGCACAGTGGGGTAAAAGACCCTTAAAATGGCGATAAATTCACCTGAGTTGAAAAGCTGATTGTTGACTACTTTTATATATATATATAGAACGGAAGAATATAAAAAAAAATTTTTTTTATTGTTGTTTTTTTTTACAAATTTTTCATTAACATATTGAATTTTGGTTACTTTTACCGTAATCATATATACATTATAAAATATAATCCTTATTGTCAGCATCATCACCATTATCGTCATCATCATCGTCATGACCATCATAATCATCATTATCATCATCATCATGATCATCATCATCATCATCACTGATACATTGGAAATTAGTATTTTTTACAGGTGGTGATTTTAAAAGATTTAAAGCTAATGGTGGCATATGTTGAAACTTTTTTTTATTCAGTTTTCTAAGGCTTGAAATAACGGGATCAGAACTAATGAGAAACCGATTCAAAATATCGTAATTGGTCTTTTCTCTGCTACATTTACGTATAAAATGTTCTGTATATTTTTTGAATTCTTTGTTAAGAGCTTCTTGCGCTTCCTCCATTAATTGGCCAATTGGTAACATAGTGTGCGATATTATTTCCGGACCATGAATAAAGTATTTATGTAGCGTATGAGGCATATTATACCAAGCATATTTCGATACAAAATGTCTAGCAGTTTCATGTGCAAAACATCGAAACCTTTTAATTTCTATTTCATGGCCACAAGAAACAACAATCAATATGATATGCATCCTTTTTATTAAATCTAAATCAACAGTGATTTAGTGATTTCAGCCGATAGCTCTGCATTTTGAAAGAACCTTCTGGCTGTATTCCCATCATTTGAGTTACCAAATCCAGGTTTTGGTTGATCAACGATTAAACCAGCTCTATCTTTGAAGTCTTTTTGAATACGTCTCTTTGTTTCCATGACAATTTTTTTTATCGTATTCTGACTTTGCTTGCCATTTTTTTATGGGTAATTTATATGATAAATGCAGTAAACATTCAAAAAACCTTATCTAACCATGCAATACCGACAACCCAAAACTAAGACTAGAAGTTTCAACATTTTTAGCAATCATTTCATCAACTGAATTAAACTTTGCACTAGTTGCACCGCATAAGTAACACTTTTGAGTTGAAGTTGAGGCCTGTTTAAATGAGGTATGGCCAGAGCTTCCATCAAATCCCCACTTAGTTTGTAAACAAAAACTTGCTAATTCTTTTTCGCATAAAGTAACAATAACGGAATTTTGTAACAGTACTAGAAGTGCTTTTAACTTAACTTCAGCCGAAGTTTCAGTTATTTTAATATAGTCGGAATGTGGATAACAAAGTTTTTTAGCTGACTGTACCGATGAATATGACGGAAAACGATCTGGAGCAGCCTGCCTGATGATGTTATATTGCTGCCGCGTTAACTGAGCATCAACAATTATAGCCAACGCTTTTTCATTCGTGATTTTCTTGCCTTTTTCCATCGATTCAGTTAAATTTTTTTTA